GATTTCATTTAAGTCAAACAATTAAAAACGGCTTAAGTTTGCTTTCTGGTGTGCACTTACTGCGTATTAGACGCGCATTGTCTGCTCATTTATTTCCTCTCAATTACAGGCAGCTACAAAGTGACCTCATTTAAACTTACCGAATATACAAAGGCCGCGTGTGTGTGCCCTATATTTTGATTACTTCGTCGTATTGACTCGGACATATCATCTGCGCGGTCAACCGTTTAAACTACATTTAAACTACATTTGTATATTTATTTGTTTAACGGGCACTGACTGGAGCTCATTATTTACGGGGAATGTAACCGAAGATTGGGAGCTGTTGAGAGATGTCCTTCTAGACTTGATCGACAGCAACTGTCTACGGACAATTATCCACAAGCACAAACAGCCCGCGTTGCTACCTGGTAATATAAAACAGGAAATTAACAGAAAGTTTAAATTGTGGACTAAATACTGTAAAAGGAAATTCAATGCTTCAACAATTAATAACACAGAGTAACAAACTGAGAAACATGGTGCTTAGAACATGCGGATTTTCAAGAAGTATTTGCTGCAAAAAGCAACCCAGAATCCCAGCATACTATACAGCATCATCCAGAGAAGTATAATAAACAGACCTTAAATTCTGATGATAAAGACTACCGCGTCGGAATCACGGCAAACATTGATTTAGCCGACTGCTTCTCTGAGTTCCGTTGATAAATCTTCATAAATGACATAAAGTTCCTTCCGCACTCTGCAAAATATTTGCCTTCTCCAATCATTAGCATTATCGTATCGAAATGGAATTGGAGATAATAAAAAACTTGAAATTTCCCGGAACGGACCACATTAGAACCAATGCTCTCAAAGAACTTGACAATAAGCTATATGTACATCTGTCAATGCTCTTTCTAAAATTCGCTTGTCTCCGGTATACTTCCTATCAATTGTAAGTGGGCCTGACAAGGTCATGGAGCGGGTCACTAAGAGCAAATCGGTCCAGTTCCATGAGGCCGAAAACACGTTTCCAAAATGCCAACACTGGATCAGAAATGGAAGGTGCTGAACAACAAATTTGCTTCAATGTCTCCTGGACCCGGGCTCTTCGGGATAATCATTTTGCGTTTCGACGAATATCCCTTCCCCAAAATTTTGGAACATTCGTGAGGCAGCAATTGATGTACGCTATACAAGCCTGGAGATCCTGGACATTCCACGATCAAAAAAATTTCAAAAGAGTTCAAAAGGAGGCAACAATATAGCTAGGGGGCAAAACCGTTTCCCAAGCCACGGAATGCCCTCCTCACAGGTTTGGCGAAGCCACCATCGCTGGAATGCTTTACGAGAACCCTTGCGATCAAAGTTGTTTTTCTCTACACTGCATGGATTTTGATGTTGCAAATAGGGTACGCAGCGGCTCAGGCCTATTTCCCAAAACTTACAGAATAGAACCTGCGTGCACAGTGTCCTATGCATTGGTTCTAAACAATTTCTCGAAGATTCAGGCTGGCCATTCTATTTAAGGATGCTCAAACTTGCGAAACACCTCTGTACTACATCGCTTTCAGTGCAAAATTGCCTAAATTACACAGTTTTCGGAATTGAATCGCATAAAGGCGCCATCATATGAAATCCTTGATTTTAATTGGTAGTTCTGTAAGTGGTATTCGTGTTAGTTGACAGGCTGTGTATATTAATGTAAATGTCTTTTACCCAACTTAAAATTTCCTCTGTGTTCGTAAGATGTATTTAAATAAACTTTGTTTAGTCCAAAATGATAAGAGTGAACGACGTTTTACGAAGAAAAGTTCCTTGTTGGGTTGTGTCTAGAATGCTCTCTGTTTAGTTAAGACTTTTTAGGACTGGCTCGCCGATGATCACATAATATATTAGTTGATACGTGCCCGAGACCGTTAGGCAAGTGTCTTTGTACCTGGATGGAATTCTTATAATTTGGATT